TTCTGTCTACGAATATTACAACTTCGGATATTCAGATATGCACGCAAGCATATCTCCGTCGATGATACAGAAGAATCATACAAATAAGCGTTTTACATTAAGGCTATCGACGTCAATACGAGTGGGCGCGAGAGAGAGAGAGAGAGAGAGAGAGAGAGAGAGAATACTATCGGAAATGACTTAGCTGAATACGGGTTGCTGATGCCGAAGCCCGTCTTCGGTGGGAGTCACGTTCCGTGCCTTGCACAACCCTTGAATTCTCGTCTTTGGATATAAGGACCCAGCCAATTCTCTGGTCCTCGTCAAATCGTGATCGTCACCCTCAATATCAGACAGGGGCTACGTCAATCATCTTCATGACACGGTCATGGTCGCCAAAATGACTCCAGGTTATGGAATGCTCCGGCACACGTGATATACGTTTCCAAATCGATCCGTTCGGGATCGTGGCTCGAGCTCCGACTGTCTTGCTTCCTTGTTTTCCGCATTTCTCTTTATGAGCCCGTTTCCCACCTCTCCTACCTCATCCCTACTTTCATCCTCTTTTCTCTCTCTTCTCTTATATTATCTCCATTACAATACATCGATCAAAGCGTGCGAGGCTGAAAGGTTAAAAATCCTAGCGCTCTAGCGCCTCTTGCGTCAGAAATTGTAAAAGTACATTTCCCCCACCCCGCAACTGGGCGACGACGATGATAATAACGACGTTTCTTAATTCTTAATTAATTCCTACATTTCGGACTTTGCATTGTAATATCTCCGCTCGTAGGGCACGTAGAGAAAAAATAAAGACACTTTCATTATATAAATCGAACCCAAGCTATCGATTAAGCCTAGTTAGAATTTAATCGGTTCGATCGTTATTGAGATCACAAAATCTCGGATGCTCGCAACGCGACGGCTCGCGTTAAGAGACCCGGCTTGGCTTGACATACCCGACATGGCTTGACATATATGATATATTATTTTTATATATATATGATACATACATATATTTTATATTATATTTTATTTATTTTTTAAACATTTAAACACTTGACACCAAGCCACTACCGTTTCTCCTGATAGTACAGAACACTACAGTTCTGTTGAACTAGAATCCACCTTTTCAAAATAGAATACCAATTTTTCGAGCATGGTATCGATGTTCTAATAAAGGAATGTTAGAAATCTTTTCTGTACTAGTTCTAGTTCAAATAATATCTACAAAATATACAAAAAAAGCTATAATACCAAAAATAACAACGGAATTAGTTATGTTAATTTTAATTAGTTTGTATTAACTATATACCAAATTATATTCCATGTGCTGAGGATATTTTTCGGTGATCTCTCTTGTTGATTTATGGGTGAGGAGAGATAAGAGTTTTCAGACGATTTTATACAACGTGTAGTTTTATTATGCGAGCGACAGAACTGATACGTAACGATACGCTGAGAGACAGTAAAAAGCAACAGCGCCAGCGTCGACAAGAACAAGAACTAAAAATAATATAAGATAGGAAACTCACATGTTATTATCGCATTCATAGAAATGCCGCTGTACATTGCACAATTTAACATCTCTTATACCTTTTGCTTCATTTTTAATCCATGATCTTCGCAATGAGAAAGTTTCTTGCAACAATCGTCGAACGTGACCAGTGTTGCTGGTATTTGTATTTTTCTGCAACTCTTTTAATGCAATGTCTATATCAGTAGTTGTTGATTCACATCTGATCAATTTTCTGACGTTTCATTGGAGGAGGTAATTCTTCGGATATTTTCAGCACTAAGGGAGACATTTCTTGTTTTATTTTTATCACATCTTTTACTATTTTAACCTACAAAACATTGATTTTTTTTTAATATTAATTAAAAATGATATAAAACAAATTCAATTATGACTTCGATGTATCTATTCGTACTCCCTCGTGCCTCCAATTGACTCACTCGCACTTTGTGACTTAAAACATGTTAGAGGCACAAATAGACACTATATGTTCTAACTTACCTCTTTCTTTAATTATAGATAGCGATTGATCAAAGCGTTCATTGTCTTCTGTTTCGAGGTTATGCTCATCATGTTCATTATATACTTGTAGAACAGGAACATCTATACCGAGTGTACGTCCTGTTGCGAGAGCTTCAGGCAGTTGAATATTATATTCGTTGTTTAGCTTTAAATCAATGAGAAGTACGTGGATATCATCCTTATCTTGTATTTCATCATCCTCATCAATATCACATAACCGATTGTCTGTCGGGATTCGCATGTTGCAAAACAACAGCTTTGTCAAACATCATCGAACGTAGCACAGGATCATTTGCACCATGAGACAATTACGAATTGCTTCAGGATCAGATACCTTTTCATTCTTGACGAATTTGATCGATTTACAACGTTCACCGATCAAACAAAAAACTTGTTTTTCCATTTTTATTTGTATCCAAAGTATATTATTTACACGAAGACCGCGAGGCTGGCAACTAGCGTGACTGCAATAGCGTGTTTCCTTATTTTCGTGTGTTTTTTCGATTATGTGTATTATACACTCAAAGTGCGTAACTCGACTCTAAGTGCATAATTTTCAAACACCTTTTTTTTGTGTTGCAATTTTTTGGATGACTTATTTAATATACTCCGCGTGTATAATTAGTACTACACACATGAAACGTGTACAAACTGCACATCATGTGTGTTAATTCAACACATTTCGTATGTGTTACTTTTAAACACCAAGTTTTGATCACACACTAAAAATGTGTATTGTGTGTTATATTTATACACGCTGTAACACACTTGGGTTTGCAGTACTTGTGCGAAAGTGTATAACGAGTAGCTTTAGTACAGGCGTTACGCCGTAAAAATGGCACGCGCTTGTGTCGGTACGGCAGTACCGCCACATTATGTAAGTAAATGGCTAGATTGTGTAAGGGACTGTTAATCGAAGAGACTATAATTCTGAGTAGTTGCCCGGCTTGTGGATCTTCGGAAGACCATAAGCCTTCGATATGACCCCATCAGTATTCAATAATCCCCTGTACATCTGTTCATTAATAAATTTATTATTTTTCCATTGTGTAAGAAGACAACGCAAATTATTAATTAGTTTTTTGTTGGATCTTTTTCAACGGTGAGATAAGTATCTTTGTCCGATAGATATATAATGAACGTTTTTCAGCTGTATCTCATTGTCAGTAACTATTACCCATATACAAACAAAAAAAATCAAAATGCAGGGAATTTAATAACCTTTCATTTTTGTAAGAACTATTTTTAGCGTAGAAGTAGCGTAGAACTATTTTTAGCGTATACAAGATATTTTTGATATATTGTATTTGAAGAAATGTCACATTCTCATTATGTCCTCAAATCAAAATGTCTAATATCTCCGGAACTATCGGTCGCACGACATTTTAAAAAATCGATTTTACAGGTAATTAAATACTCTATCGATTTCATTCTATACGTTTTGTACGTAGGTACAAAACGTAGGTAGCAGCCAAATGTGCGATATTCACGAAAAATACGTAAAAAAGGAACAAATTTCCGTAACGTTTGAAAATAAGAGATTCTTTAAAAAAATCTATCTCGGGAACTATTGGTCGTACGAGGTTCATTAAAAAAAAATAAATTGTGGGGAATTTTATCAGTTTTTAATTTTGATCTGAACGTTAATTTCCGTACAATGAATAGCTTCTGAGATATTAGAAAAAAACCGATTTTATCCGATATTTTTTCAAAATGACACAGTCAGCCATGCTCCCACACATGAGGACTTTTGATATGTTAAAAAGTACATTATTATAAGCATATATACAAAAATTCAGATTTTCAGCAATTTTTTCCTTTTTAAAATCTAGTTTGACTGGGCCGTACATAAATTCCATATTAAAGAATATGCCATATTCACAATACTTTTTTTATGCTTATGTTTCAAAATATTTTTATGCCGAATCTTAATGCTTTGCAAAATACAAAGCACTAACCTGATTATTTTTTAATTCACCATGATAGCCATTAGCCAACCATCAAAATTTAAAAGTACCATTGAAAGAAAGAATCTAATAAGATACTAGATAATAAAAGATACTGTGAGGTTAAAAATTTATTAATATCATATTTGCCGGATCTGTGCCAAAAATAATTGTTTAGTAGCCATATTAGTAGTCAATTCTTAATTTTTTTTTAATTTTTAATTGATTTCAAAACTTTTTTAATATTAAATTTTAGTCAATGAACACAAACATATTTTTTATACAGCTAAAGATATACATATTTTAGTATCTTCAGAATTTGTAGAAAATATAGATATCAAAAACTATGTATAATACTAATACATAATACATAATACTAATATATAATACTAATACATAAAGATAGAAAAATTACTTTTTACTACAAAATATTTCAAATTTATTCATTTTGTAATGGAAAAAATAAAGATTATGTAAGCTATATAATAATAATAAATATATATATATATTTGTATCGTATTTTTTTTTGTAATAGATTTGTTGACTTGACCCAAGTTGCAGTACAATATTTAATATTAAAACTCAATCTTACTATGGGTATAGCTGCAGTTTGTAGTCTCTTTCCATTAATTATTGTAAGTCTAACAATTTTACTTTTTATTTACTATAAGTTATAACATATGATTATATTAAATACACTGGTCCAAAAAATTAAAGGATCACCTGTTGTAGCCTCTAAAAATAGGCAAACTTCAAGATAGAGCAACTTCGTCAAAAATGATCAGATTGAGATGTTCAAAAAAGTATTTTACAG